TCGTGGTCATAAGGCAGTAACCAAAATGTTTCGCAACCACAACGCACGAACAACATTGTTACACACCGAATCCATTTTCCAAACGGGCGACGTCTGAATCGTGTAAGCTAAAACTCATGCAACCGCCGTTATAGCTATCAACTGCACGATTTATTGGAACACTACTCGCGGAACCCTAACTAATCGAAACGAACAGCTCGTCCAGTCCAGAATCGATTCAAATTAAAGCTCTATCAACTTGGTTTTAATGTGAATTTTCTATGAAAACTTATGTCGCTTGCGTCATTATTGCTGGTAGTGTCGTTAGATTTGCCAGCCCCGTCTAATTGAGTTCTCCAGATTTCGCAATGTTTGGGCCCAGTTTACGGAGTGATTTTGAATTCGGAACACAAAATTCTCAAGCTACAATATGTGCATAGATAAATAATTATTTATTGCGGTCAACCACATAGCCTTATAGAGCCACTAAGACTTCGAGCATGAGAGTATATATTTAAGTATGTTTTTTATTAATTTACTAGCGACACGCACTGGGTTTGCGCGGGTGTAATGTGTTATACATATAAACCTTCCTCTTGAATCACTCTATCTAGTAAAAAAACTGCATCAAGATCAGTTGCGTAGTTTTAAAGATCTAAGCATACATAGGGACAGACAGACAGTGGGACGACTTTGTTTTATACTATGTAGTGATTATTTATTAATCTCTGCACTTTATATGAGGTAGTTGTTGTAGGTATTTTGTAAACGATATAACAATAGATGCACCAACCATTGAAAATGCGAAAAAACAGTATAGAAAAAAGACGTGATTTTCTTTGGTGTGTCCATCCGCCGTTTAGCTTAGTGGTTAAAACGTCTAGGCGCGAATCCCGAATAATTAGTTCGATTTCCGCAGCGGCGAGAAAATTTTCATATTTTTCTACAAATTTTAATGCTTCATCTTAAGTCTGAAATTAGCACTATAAAAATTTAAAAGTCGTCTATAATAAAAATTTATTGTTATCAATGTTAAATCTTTAAGGAAAACATTAATGTTTTTAAATTAATGTTTCCAATGTTCTTAAACCGTAGCTCCTCAGTGCATCTAAAAGTGGCTTAGTTTTGCTCTTAAAGAATACAACACAGGCCTTGTCAAGACATGAGAGAAGTTTCACAAGCATGAATATGACGGAATGAGAGCGCACACATACAGCACAAAGTCTTACAATACTAAATTTGCTGCGACTATCGTTGGCGATTAGGTGTGATATTATTACGTACCGATATCCCCGCTGGCTAACGGTCACGACAATAGTATCTGTTCGTGACAAATCGATTGTTAACGTGAAGATGGACAATACAAAGATCATAATGGCCGCACCCTGCCAGTGCACAGACAGTAAGAACGAAATCATCTTCTCATTTGTCAAAGTTACGTGTGCAAATCGTTGATGTCCCCAACGGCTTGAAATTTCTTAGGACAAATAATAAACCGAATGTTCACATATCAAAAAGCAAAAAATTGTATTTCATTTAATTTTAAATACTGCCAGTTTTAAAAAAAATCAAGTGGTATTTGAAATATAAATATTTAATTATCATAACGAAAAAGAAACAAAATGGAACTTTTTTAATATTTTTTTATGATTTAATAATTTACATACCCTATATTTTATAATATTATATGAAATAAAGCAATTATAATAGAGTGAAGTGAGAACCTATTTCAAGATATCGATATATTTTATTATATTTTTCGTAAATTCTTTGTTACAAAATTTTATTCTCCTTGAATTTGAATATATCAAGGCAAATACAATCGCAGTGACATTTTGATACACCACAACTTAACTCAAGATAGTGGAGTTGAATTGTTATCATGCTATGTAACGTAAAGTTCAAGGCCTTAATGACGAAACCATAATTTAATTCAACTTTATTACTATACTGAAATGTAGGACACATTTCTAAAGCTGAGGCACTTATATATATTTCATTAAAGCTACGATTTTAACCACACCATGCTGCCTCTTAAAGAATCAGCACATTCTCTGGATTTTATATTTATTTAAATAGGTCTTTCTTTAGAATCTTTCTTTATTTATATTGTGTATGTATTGTGTATTAATATTACTTTATTTTATACATATGTATTAGGTATTATATAGTTTTATCTGTTATTAATAGTTCTGTATTTTGTAGATACTGTTTATGTAGTTATTTAAAAATTCTTGTGATCAGTTTTTTTTTAAATTTGTAATAAATGAAATTGGATAAACTTTTCTGGACCACCCCAAGTTTGGCTGGGAGATAATGCTGATGGCATAGTCCACCTTTGTACATAAACGTTTATGCATGAAGAATAAATAAATAAATAAATTAATTAATAAATAAATATCTGAAGGGATATTGTGAGGTTAAAAACAGCATTAATAACATAATATAAAATAATACAGCAGCCTATTAAAAACCATAACTGTGATGCTCCTAGAATATTACGGCATAATCCACCGTAATTAAGTTAGTCTCCTGAGCTTCAAACGTATTAAAGGCAAATACCCCGACTACACCGGCCACTACTTTTGTCGAGTAACTGATACTGCAAGAAATTCATGTAATCAGAAAAACACTTTTAGTAACAATATACAAAACTTCAAATATCTCACTCACTAAACATTTTCTATTTGATTTGTTGAGTAGTTAACAGACGTATCTCCGCAGTTCACGGTCCAATACCTTATATTAATAAGGGAACCCAATAAAAAAAAAAGTAAAAAAAATAAAAAAAGATCGGTTGATAATATCCAGTTTAGAGAGAGTTGCTTACGAACTGTCCCACTAAATGTTGATAACATTCCTTTACATTCTTTACTTCTCTAGTAGACATTCCTAGTTCTTATCCCTATAGAACACTATTTTTTATTATTTCTACCAATTTACAAACTTTTTTATCTTACAGGTACAAAATGTTGAAGTGGGCAGTCTATAAAAAGAATCAAGAAGGTCAGGCAACGGTGAATCCGGATGTCCCTGATCTTAACTCAAGCAAACTACATAATGACAAATCCAGGAGATCTTTAGATGCGCAAGTAGTGAAGAAAAGCAAGAAACCCAGTCGATACCAAAGAAGGTCAATTGGAGCAACATGTAGAAGGAATAACAACAAAATTGTCGACAAAGAAAACATAAATTACATTGGGAACACTCCTAATTACTATAAACCGGGTTTCATGAAAAACACTGAGAATATTGCCCTAAAAGACGTAAGTAATATCACACCTACTTCTGCGACTCCCGTAAAGAATTACGAAAAGTTCCTCTTTTATTCTGACACTGGTAAAGATGATATGCCAACCGAGCTACCTCCAACTCCTCCATCCTATAGTAGAAGAGTCAGAGAAGCGAAGAAGAGGAAATTGGAGATGAACAGTTCGAACAATAGCGAAGTGTTTGTAAGAAATAGTTGTGTTTACAAATCCGAAAGAAAGATTAAGAATGTTGACCGAAATCTATTGCACTCTCCAAAACTAAGTCACAGCACTTCGGAGCCATCACTAAACGATCTTTCAGATCGACTCTCCGCAACAACAGCCAGTAGCAAAAGTTCTATTCGTTTAGAAGATTACAAATGTAAAAATAAACCTATATGCACTACAAAAACTTCCAGCGAAGGTATAGTAGAAATAGAATATGATAAAGATTTAGTAATAAATTGCTTAGAGAAACCTTTAATTGTTAATCAAAATGAAATAGAAAAATCGACTCTGCCCATTTTCGGTCACAGTATCTTTACGGACAATCCTTTGTATTTGAAAAAGAATGAGGATGTACCGATTAGTATAAGGCCTTTAAAGAGAACTCGGAAAAAAACGAACGACTTTGAAAGTTCATTTAAATCGCCTTCAATAGACAAACGAGATGTCCATTCTCTTGTTAGAGATGGATGCTCTCCAGTTTCTTTAACACCATTAGCTGCTAAATTAGAAGCTCTAAGATTTAGTACCATGAGTACCCACGTCACAAGCAAACGTAACATTCATGTGAATGATGTCACTCAATATTTTCCAAAGATTGAAAATCCCTTTAGTTTGAACTTAAAAGATGAGGAAAGTTCCACAGAAATGGAAAATAAATTCATTCTATGCAAAGAATCTATGACTAATTCATCAGAATCAACTGTTTCAACAACTCAAATGGGAGATGTGACACTAGAAAAAATGATAGAGGATATTATAAAAAGTACAAAAATTGTCAAATCTAAAAGGCGAATCATTAACAACAAAACAGAGGCAAAGTTGACTCTAGACGAAGAAACGCCATGCATAGAAACTCTGAAAGACTTATTCGTTAAACCTCAAGCTGGTAACAAGGTTAATTTAATCAAAGAAGCCAAATACGTTAACTTATCCCGTGAGAGTTCTGTTTCACCGAAGAACACTCCGACAAAAAAGATGATCCCCATTCATAAAGTGAATGAAAAACTCTTAAAGAACGTTCCCATCGGATGTTTTCTTCTAGACGATGGAGATGGTTACAACGAGAGAGAGGTTCGTACGCCCGATAATTTTGTTCAACTTGAGCCAGTTTTAGAGCAAAATAATGACGTTACTAAACCATTTTGTAGGTCTTATTCCATGAATATTAAAAGTGCTGCCAAAAATCACCTGGAACATACGTTATCGGAATCTACTCCTGATCTATATAATACCACAAATGAAAATAATGTAAGATTAAGAAGACAAAGATGTATACGTAAAAAGAAAAACACTACAAGTAGTGAAAGCTTAACGAAGCAGAAACAAATGGAAATAAACTCCCCTAAGTCTTCATTAGTCCGTACTCTAGAAATGGGCATACCTAGTCCCGCATTAGACTTGCAAAACGTATCATTATGTGAGCCATTCAATTCTCCCTTCGAGTCAAAGCAGCCACAAGTGGTATATAAAAATGAAAGTCTGCATAATAATACCTCAGTTCTAACGAATGTGTCGCACAGCAGCCTAATGTCTTACGAGCCAATGAGCAGTCGAAATACTAGATCGAGAGAGCTATTTGGTTTGACGTTAGACAATGGAATACCGAGCCCTATAACGCCAGCTATGAATCTCAAGCGTCACAGCAACGTCCTGAGTGAAGAGCGAGCTAGTAAAACTAGCAAAATAGATGAAGACTTAATACCGAACAATGCCCTAACGCCTGTGATAGAATACAAGTCCTCTAGAAGATGCCTCACTTACTCCCCCGAAGAGTGTAGCATAAACAGCAGCGAAGAGAAACGCAGAAGCGTTGCGAGCAATCGCCTGGAACGGAGCAGTGACCGATTTCAAGCGCTTAAAGCGACAATTGACCTTGAGATAAAAACTAGACATGACGTGATAGACGTTCACGGTGAGTGGTGACTATCGACCCCCTTTTTTGTGGCATTATTATAATTTCCTTAGGGCATCAAGTTCAAAGGTAATTTTTTCACTTTCAGTCATTCGGTGCCGGGATCTTCAGAGATTGTCTGGAAAGGCGGAGGATGTCAACGCTTATGCAAAGGTAACTGAAACACATTATTTGACAAAAGAAAGGAAAAATATCTATATGTATAAGTAAAGTATCAGCCTATACATGTCCCACTACTAAGCATAGGCCTCCTCTACACAGAGGGCGTAGTCCACCACGCGACCCCACTGCGAATTGGCAGACTGCACAATTTTTTTTTAATTATTATTTCGAAAATATGCAGGTTTCCTCACGATGTTTTCTTTCACCGCTGAGCACGTGATAATTCAGCTCTTGAAATTAACAATTTCATTGGTGCCGGCAACGGAGATCGAACTCAGGTCGCTCGAGTATATTGAATTAAAGGCGAGCGCCCGGACACTGAGCTATCACGGCTATATATGTATAAGTAGTGATTATTGAGTAATATTGTCATAGATGAATGGGCACGTAGTTGTCGGTAAATTTATTGCACTGCCAAACACGATTCCATTCTTACTATTATTTTCTTACGCCCGCCTTGAAATAATATTCGATATGAGTCCTTTGCTCTTTATCGTCTTCAATAATGAGATAAACGACGAACCAAACAGATAGAAGTGTTTTCTTAGGAAACACAGTTTGTTCTAGTTTCAGTCGTTTTTTAAAATAACGCTGGTGCAGCTCACTGTAATGCAAAGAAACAAATTACAATTTGAAGGTGTATACACTATTTTTTTAAACATTAATTTTCAATAATTCAAATTTAGAATACAAACTATGACAGGCTTCGATATATGTTTTAATCACAACAAATAACATAGTGTAATACAGTTGTAAGGAGCAAAACTCGATTCGTCATGGCATGGTAAGCGAGATGTGTTTCTTCCTCAACGATAATATTTGTTTTAATCACAACAAATAACATAGTGTAATACAGTTGTAAGGAGCAAAACTCGATTCGTCATGGCATGGTAAGCGAGATGTGTTTCTTCCTCAACGATAATATTAAATGTTTGATTAGGAAATTCCGGCCTTTCAAATTATTAAAAGTACAATCGGACGCGAATAATTAAGCCTTATAACTTGTATCGCACATGCATCCGTTGTCTTAGCAAACACAGCAAAGGGAACAATAACTTTACTAAGTGAGTTTACTGAAGTGCGGCCAAGCAAAAGCGTCTGTTGTTGCACAATTGGGCAGTCTTATCCGGCGCAATACCATGGCCTCATAGAAGATCCCGGTGGAATGGAAGTATTATAATTTCGCCTTTCGTCTAGTGAGTATGGCATCCGAGGCCTACTATTCAACGCATCTGCAAGCCCGCAGGTGTTACAGACGGCGATTATTTTCACTTAACATCAGGTGAACCGCCTGATCCCATTACAACTTTTCACAAAAAAAAATCTTCTGCAAATTGCCTAAATCAAACCCAAGAAAAAAACAAAATTCAAATTATACCCATCCAACCAACTGCTTTCCGTTTATTTAAATTAATATTCTATGGGATTGAATTGACATCAAATTCGTTCTAAAGGTCGTCATCAGCGGCGTGAACGAGAACCACAGTTTACCGTCGCAGAGGTCAATATTCCAAAGGACCTCGGTCCTCTACGGGAAGAGGGAGCCAGAGTTCCGACGCCATCTGAGACTACAGCTCCCTAGTGTGGTCTACGACCACCAGATGCTCCACATCTCCGTCTGGCACAGGGACAAGAAGTACAGGTAAGAACTATTTATGAGTACTGTGAAATATTTTGTAAAATCTGCCTTATTAATACAAAGGGCCTGTTAAAATGCCGAAGAATACATTGAAGAAATAGCCTGATTGCTTCTGATTTCATACTTCATAAATTTGTATATGTATCATTTTAAAAACAAAGCGCAGAGTTTCTTGCCTGCTACTCCTTGGAAAGGTAAAAATTTATGAACCGGTGCTAGTGTTTTGGCGTGAGAAGAGCTTAAAACAAGCCCATATGGAATAATGAAATTTTAACGTGGACTTTGAATGTTCGACAGTTGTTATTTTACAATATTATTGTATTTAAAAAACTGAAATATTTTTTTAACGTCTAGTGACTGGGTGTTATTATATAACATAATATATATTTGTATTTGTTGGTATTTGTTTATAAAAGGAAAACATGTTCAAGTACGTATATCAGTTACCTAGTTATACCTACCCATGTAAATAGATTATAAAATATTTCAGTTATTTTTAAATAATTTCAACAATACGTCTACTGCGTCACTTATTATTCAGAAGCTAGGGGCTATGGCAATAAGAAAAAATAATGTCAGAGGTCGTGATAAATATTTCATGATTGCCCCGACTTTCCCATCGTCGGAAACAGATATAACAACTATGCTACTCGCAACCTCGCTATAGTCAGGTCAGAATTCAACAACGACAGTACGTACTATATCTATGCCGCTTGATCAATTTAAACGTAAAATCAAAAGTCAACTTATGATTAAAGTATATTACACCATTGCGACGATTCGACGACGCCAATTTGTGGAGTTAATACTGTTGATACTCACGTAGGGTAGAACAAGACCATTATACCGGTATGTTATATTGTAAAATAATATTTTTGCCGAAGAGCAACTGTTGCGTTTCTTGCCGGTCTCTTCTCAACAGAAACTGCTTTCCGAACCGGCGGTACTTTACGAACCTATATGTATAATTTTTTATGTAAAATTTGACGATTCATAAGAAAGCGCAAGCGTCTATTTGAATAAAGATATTTGATTCTTTGATTGCTATCGTCTTTCCTACTGATTACAACATGAGCGCCTACGAGGCTATATGAACTCTTACTAGTGCGTTTATCATCAGTTAGGCAAAATTCTAGCAGGTTTATAATTGAAAACGAGTTCCTCATATTTGTAAAGGGCAAATACGTCGTGAGTCCAGCCTAAGACTGCACTGCGTACCATCATGAAGGTGAGCAAGCAATGGCCCTTTCCTAATACTCTGTCAGTAGAGAATTCCTAGCTCTTCCCGCCGCGTGGCGCTCTCATACATAAGATATTGGGGGAGGGGGTGGGAATGACGCGAACGCGGGGGAGGGGGGGCGTGCGCACGTCGATCGATCTCAGGGCAGCGCAGCCAGGGCGGGCAGTTCCGCGGGCCCTCGCCGCCGTGCGACTGTTAGCGACGCGCCCCTTGGCCAGAGTTACGCACCGCCACCCGCCAGTGTTGTGTTGTGCCTGTGGATTGTGACCTGGGGATTTCGCTACTGACGGGTACCGCCGGCAGCCGTTAAGGGATCGGGGAGCCCTCGATGGCTTGACGCTGGCACGGCCACCGAGCTCGGCGTGCGATCGTTGGGAGCCTTTACGTTCTCTTTGTTTCGTTGGGCCCTATGGTAATTTCGTGTGTTCTATCGGCTTCACTTATTGCTAACAGGTTGAACTGCGGTTTCGACCCCGTCTCGTTAGTTAGATTTTTTTCGTGATTCATAATTGTATGTGATTTGAATAATTTATATTTGCCATTTCAAATAGAATCTTCAAATGATAAAATCGAAAACTCCACACACACTTATGAACTTAAAAAGCTATTATGGGACGATCATATACTAAATTAAAGAGCGTTCATTTCACATAGACCACACTTTCTATTCCCATTTTGAAACTCCCGTGTTCCGAATTAGTGGAAATAGCAGTATTTATAAGATAAAATAAAAAGTTATTCAAAATTGTTAGCTTTAAGTCAATCAATTTTAGAATTTAAACCGTCTTTGAATTATAATTTATTGATTATCAAACCAATTAAACATTAATGAAAGCAAACCATTTTCACGTATATTTTCGTAGTTCTTTATTTTAAATACTATCATGATCATATTGTCAGTTAATATTAAATGGATTTACCAGATTACCTTTTTCGTTACACAAACACAACCATCATTCTCTTATCTAATCCTATTGCCCACTTAAGTAGATCATGCTAGGTTAGACGTTTAAGACTAATCTAGGAATTTCTTTCATTGAGACTTCGGAGAAAATAGAAAATTGTACCAAGTCGCCGCTTAAGCAACCTGAAACATCGAAGACAATATTCGTGGAAAATATGTCATAATGCATCGGACGGAGGAATAGCGGAGTGTCATTACTTGGACCGTTGGCATGTAGCCAACTGACAGAAACTTCGGAGAGCTTGATATGTTGGCAAGAATGACACGTAACCTCCGTCCACATCGCTTCTTCGCGTTTGCGAGGCCATAACTATATTATTCGAATTGTATGCCACTTCATAAATCTAGAAGGTTCTCTCAATTTTTTCCATTACCAAACATTCCTTAGAAATCTTTGCAGAACTATTTAATTTTTTACAAGTATCGTGGGAATCCAAACACATATCAATCCAGTTTTAAGTACTATTAGAAGCACTAAAGGATCTAAAAGCTGTTGATAGCGGAACAAAGTTATTTATTTAAATACCAACAATCATTTTTTTTTTCAAATCCATACAATCTTAAATTTTTCAATAGAATTAAAACGTAAATTACCCGTTGTTTGTGTGGAACCACAAAGCAACTTATTACTCGAACGGGCAGGCTTGCCCGAGAAAGTCTCACAGGAGACTGAAGTGAAGTGGAAGAAGACGTATACTTAATAATTTCTTGTATTTACGCGATTACACATTATAAATGAAACTAATTTTACGGATTTATCGCGTTTACTTTTAATTTTAATTCCCGACGTTTCGAACCCTTTCAGTTCTTGTCTTGCAGTAGTGGTTCGTTTGGTTTTGCCAACTTACTGCAAGACAAGATACAATTAGCTCCCTCTGCATAGATCGGACACAAAATTTTAATACTACAAAAACTGACGGTAGCCCGGGTTAACTATGACAATCAGACGTCTAACACCTCAGTTTGTCCCGTGACCATGCACGCTGTAAAGGGTTCGAAACGTCGGGAATTAAAATTAAAAATAAACGCGATAAATCCGTAAAATTTGTTTCATATATAAGACGTATTCTTTCACGTTTCATCTAAATTATGAGATAGCCGGGGTCCACTTTTTAAAACTCATCTGCAAACCATCAGGTTTTGTTTTTCATGTCTATGGACGATGTTAGTCACGTAACATTAGGAGCAACGACTGCTTTTGAATTCATTATGGACCACTTCATACCTAAAGGAGATTTCGCGATTATTATCAGGAGTACAAAGGCATCTAAGTTAATGAGCCTATTAAGCCATGGTCCACTATGTCCCCAATTCAGATTGGTGGACTCTACATTTTCTCGAAGTATTATAAAAATAAATAAAATAAAAATGCTATCTAAACGTTGCTTGGACAAACGAATAGCAGTCAAAATGTAAAATGCATGCAAATTAGGCCGAAGTGGAAGGTGAGAAATGAATAGTTCCGTGTGGGGCCAGTAACAACTGAAGTCGGCTATACAGTGCGCCTAAATTATTCAGACTAAACGAGCTGTACAAGGCGGCTGTAAACCGAAACGGGGGCGAAACCACTAAAGGGGAGGCCCGTTTGTTAATAAATAAGAAAACGCTTTGAACGCTACACTCGCTACGTCCCTCGCGATCTATTTAACTTCTTGCTGTACTTACGCCCGTTTCTGAAACACTGGTCATCGTAGAAGTCAACTAACCGGCTGTCAAATGGATTTTCAAATGTTATTTGAGTTGCCAAAAGGATTGGTAAAGTCTCTGAATGGATCAGAATGATTTTCTTAATGATCAGAATGATCAATTCGAATAGTTTTCAAATAGATCGTCTTCAAATATCTTGAAATAATGCCTTGGTGAACAAAGTAGATGCTGTTTCACATAATATATTAACTATTGAAGGCGTTAAAACATTAAAAATAATAATAAATACCAATGTACTATACCCGTGTACCCATGTATGCTCTACTAATTTTTTAATCAAATTTTCGTAGCAGAATAAATAATGCTGTAATACTTCTTCGTATCGACTTTCCGTAGCGGTATAATATAATTACAAGAAGTAAACAAACTTTTGAGGAATCCATACCGAACTAAACGTATTTTTCAATGTAAGATTTTTTACCAACCAATTAGTCGCTAGACGTCGTTTAAAAGAACCACCCCCTGGGTGAAATTTTAAATAAGGTCTTTTGAAAATTATTAGCAATTTTAGTGCCACCTCTACGAAATTATGCCGCTATTGATCGTCAACTTAATCAGAATAGCGATTGTAGGCACGAGGTGCCTTTATTTAATTGTGACTAAATTAAATAACTTAAATATACTAATTACTTATTTAATTCATTAACATCACGTTAACAAAGAAGTTATAAAAGCGCAATAATTTTCTCTTATCGTCTATTTTGAAATAAAAATGATTATTTTTTACGGAGGATTTGATTTTAGTCGATCACAAAATTAAAGCTACTACTTGAGTAGTTGTTTAACAAAATGTAAGCCTAAGTGGACTCTACGAATTCGGAACTCGTATAAAGTGAGAAAACAGTTCGGCCATCATCAACGATTTGTTCAACTGCCAATAATTCGATCAATCTCCACAATAATCACAACAATCTCCGTTATACGGTCCTTAATATTAATAGCTACGACAAAACTATGTCTAATTTTGACGATCCTCTTAGTAGAGTCGACATGGAAACGTTACATGCTATACAACTCTATGCCTTCGTAAAACAAGCGAAGGCCGAAACAGTGGCTAATACTAATGGGAATTCGTTTCGGGTTGGCAATTACAAGAAAATCAATCGGCAGTAAACACGAGCGATGCGAAAACAGCGACCCGGCCCTCGACAAGTCAAACATCGTCCCCGATCGCACGTTGTCACGCTGCTTAATCAAACACGCTATTTGCCCTGCCACGTTTCTCGAATGGCTCGTGAACCTTCGAAAGCAAAACCAATTATTTTAATATCATGATGGTAGCCATCATGTCAGTTTACATACAAATTAAAAGAAGACATTTAATTTAGGGGTATAGCAGCAGACACACAGAGTAAACTTGTTGATGACTCCGTGGCGTCGTTGCCAAGGTATTTTTGGCTTCTGCGTCGAGGGTCGTGAGTTCTATTCCCACACGGGACAACTATTTGCGTAACCCACAAATAATTGTTTCGGATCGGAGTGTTTAGCTTGGTGGTTAAAGCGTCAGGCCACGAATGCCGAAGACGTGGGTTCGGTTGCCACAGCCTTCCTTTCTTCATTCTTCCTTTCCTACTTTTTCTACATATTTTAACGGAGAAGGAAGACAAAATTAAATAACGAAACATAACGTGGATCGGGGTCGGGAATTGCGTAGACAGGAACTAAATAATGGAGTTCGAATACAGTGTACACTTATCTACGGAGTAAATATTTGATAAGTCCTTGCGGTTTGCCAACACGTGACGCTCCTCCACGATTGACCCAGAGCCGAAACGTCAATAACGTTTGCTGAGAGCATACCGCCCGAACCAATAACCTTGGATATTTTGCTATAATACGCGATCCAATTTCGACACGGGCTTCACAATCTGGCTTCTCCTTCCAATATCCTTCATTTTTGTAATCAATTGGGGACATAACGAAATTGCTCTTTGTGTTTGGTTTTAGGTGATTTCAAAACGACCCTAATTTTTGATATGTAAATTCATACGCCGATCAATTATGAATTGAAACTGTTCCTCATTAGTTTTTCGTCATTCTTTTATCAGAAAGATTCTTTTATCAAAAAGATATATCAATATCAAGTGTAATGGTAACTTTTAGGATGGCCCACAGGTCGAAAAAATAGAGAAAGAATTGGTTGGTATGTTGTTAAAAAATCATGTTTATATTGCATTATTTTAACATGGGATGTGAGTCGAATACGTAGTAGAAGTCGAGCATAACTCTGAGTGCAATGTAAAGTTTCAGCGCAACTACAGCATTAAAGTTTCAGCGTTCCGAATTCGAATACTCATATGTAACCTACTTAACCTATTGTACCAATTTATACCTTTACACTTTTACATGAGGTTTTAAATGTATTTATTAGATTTCATTGATAATTAGGTTCCGTTTCACTAATTTAATATCATTTTTTCATCTACAACAACTATTGTGGGATATTAGTCCAGCACTTGCTAGCTAAAGTAAAATCTAAACGCGGCCTTACATTAAACAAAGTCTCGTAAACAAGCCAAAATGTTGCCTACTCCCAAAGCTTGACTCAGTGGCTTCATGACTCCATGGCATAGTTGCCAAAGTACTGGTTTCTACGACGGGGTACGTGTGTTCAATTATCACACAGACCAACTATTTGTATTACCCACAAATAATTGTTTCGCATCTGGGTGTTTGTCCGCGTGAAGTCTATGTTTGTAAAACGTCCTTACAACACAGGATAATGTTATCCTACAGTAAGGGCAATTTTTCAAAATAAGGAACTTTTTTCGGATCGTAGACATTAACCACGTCACACTTATGATGCTCGGCGGTGAAGGAAAACATCGTGAGGAAACCTGCATATTTTCGAAATAACAATAAAAAAATATTTCAAAAAATATATGTAGTCCGCCACAGTAGGGTCGCGTGGTGGACTATCCCCTGATACCCTCTTTACAGAAGAGGCATTTGCCCAGCTGTGGGATATTTATAGGCTGTTACTTTACGTTACTTATTTATAGATGCTACACGGTTAGCTGTTACGAATCATGGGCGCCGCCATATTGGCTTTGGCTGCTCCGCCAAACACTTCACTTTACTCCCTACTCCGCAACCGGTAACACGACATGCGATTGATGGACGAAAAGATTTGAGGCGATGTAAAAAGGTTTCACCTTAAAAAAAAGCTTAAGTAAGTCAGTAGTCCGTGTTTTGGCAGTTCATCGTCACTCAAATGTAATTCCGAGACCCTCGAAGCGTTTCATTCCGAGGGTCTCGGTCACCCACGCACCGTCGGTAGTTTTATGTGTCCCATAAACGTGTTGCTACAAACAGCGCCCGTATACGGTCATGTCGCTCGTAAAACCCCAGCTGTCGAGCTCGATTATTGGCGTAATTGGACTTGGAGTGCAGTGTTCATCTCGATTGTATTATGACATATATTGTATTAATCCGAGTGTCGTGTGGACAGTTAGCGAAACACTTGGACGCGACGTTGAGGTCGACCGAAAATTATGTGTCTAGTGTACGTTAAGAGCTTGTCGTAGAGACAGAAATTGATGATGATATTCAATTGTTCGATTAAGATGTTTTATG